TGGGTTTTAAAACCCAAAATATTTAAAGTTTGCTAAGGTTGAGCGACACTGGTCCAGACAAAGAGAGCATGTTGAAAACAGGACCAGGGCAAATTAGACTAAAGGCTATTGAAAGCAGGCATACATACATACATACATACATACATACATACATACATACATACATATTCAAGCAGCTTTATATATTTATTTATTACATTTATATATTTATATTTATATATATCCCCCAGGTAGACTGAACCATCACTAAAAGCTGGGCTGGACCTCTTCCAGAACTGATAATGACACAGTTACATAAACTGTTGTGATAAGCCACTATCTGTGTTTGAATGTGGTTCATTGAAAAGATGGGAAGCTTGATTGATTGACCTTACAAAGACAGTTACAAGAATCCTGATGATGAATATGAATATTACTCATTATATTATTATATAAATAACTATTATATGAATAATGAATATTAAAATAATGAATTTTAGTGCAAATCAGGAAAAAAATTAGAGTTGTTCACTATTTCAGATCTATTAGAGCGTGTGCTGGAAATGCAAAACCAGTACCTTCAGTATCTATTCTACTGAGAGTTCTAAAAAGTTTTTAAAGATTGCAATAGATCTCCTTTCCCCAACCAAGCCCTTATATTTCAAGCCAGTGTGCTGGTGGATATTGATGGGAGTTGAAGTCCATTGCATCTATTGGACAAAGTTGAGAAAGTTGGGCTGGTCAGAAGGACTTGGACACGGTCTTAAAACAACTCAGCAATGTTGAATTAAGATTCCATGCTGCTGCACTTACCATAAAGCTTCTGGATTTCAACATAATCATCCATATGCAACTGATATTGCAATGGGTCTCCTACTGGTCCTCGGTAATATGGGCGCATGATAGAGTGCTTGGAAGATGAATGTGCTAGGCCAAGGCTGTGGCCAAATTCATGAATGGCTACAGCAAAAAGATCGGTACCAAAGTCATCTGTCAAACAATAAAAATCACTAACTGAGTGATCCATACTGAGTCTACAAGATGAGAGAAGGAATCACAAATAGCATGCCACAGAAACAGAAGGACAGCAAAATATTATCCTGTCCAATAATTTCCCACTAAGTAATGCATCCACCCATTGCTGAGCCTTTTATGTCATCCTGACAGCTATGCACAATGTTCAGTCCAGGTTAGGTGCAAAAGGTATCTATGGAGTAATGGCTGCTTCCTCCCAAAATGGCTCCTCTCCTACAGTTCTCAAAATACAGCCATTAGATACTCCAGAACAGAGAACTGGATTTGCTCTGAAAGTTGAATCTAGGCCTCCATCTTGCTGAGGGGACTGGATGGCATCAGAGGGTAAAGCTTTGGATAGAGAGCAACATCTCAGCCTGCCTGATGGATGGAGGAGAGGTCAAATGGGCCAGACTAGCAGAGTGGATTTATTTATATATACAAATTTATATCCCATATTTTTACTCTTTGTTGTTATAGTTTTTACCACTGGTATCCACCCAATCTTTCCAAAATGAAATTAGAAGGACAAATTCTTCCTTGTGTTATGGTGAAAGTCTTACAGTACCATAAAAAAGGATCAAATAGTGGGAATAAAGACACAGTCATGGTCAAAGAAAAAAAATCTTTCTTGGTTGAGGTAGAAGTTAGGGGACCTACTTTGGAAGTTTGAGAAAACAATGAAAAATCTCTTCATGATAAAAGAGCCACATCATAAAATGCATCAGAGAATGTATATAACTGGCTTTAGTGTGCTTTTTGGTTTGTTTCGATGGATACCCTACATCTATGTCACAAGTTCAGTAATGCCTCCTTCTCAGGTTAACTCTATCCCCATTTAGGCTTTCACCTGAACCCATACAGAGGTCAGCATGGGGGGAGAATAGAAAACAAACATGCAGCCTTCAGGTCACTCAGGGAGTTCTACTCACATTAAACCCAAGGCAAGTACAGCTGACCTTCAGACCTTTAGATAAAAGTGTGGTGATAGGAGAAGACAAGGGTAGGATTCTACACATGGCCCCTTTCTCCATCCAATTTGAGCCTTTCATACATTCAGGCAAACACCTGAACAAGTTTACAGTTCTTAACTCTTCCACCACTCATGAAAGTCAAATCACCTGGTGAGCGGAAAGTCCATTCTTCATCCCCATCAAAATGGACAGTGCCAGCCCTCTGGGGGTCTCCAGGAAAAAAAGCATGGGCCACCATCCCACCAGGTCCATCAAAAGGATAACCATCATGGTGATCCAGCTGGAGGAACTCCACAGAGATGTCAGCAGTGTGGCTGCCAACCTCATGAAAGTTTAACGGTGTGGCTTCACTCCAAACCTTTAGGGCATAATACATCAACACTCGCATAGTCTCTCGGCTGAGACGGGCTCTCTGTGGATAGCTCTTCACCCTATGGGAAAAATAAAACGTTCAGGTGAAAGCAACAGAAATGTGGTTTGCCTTCCTAAAACATACTAAGTTTGGCTTTCTTTAAGCTTAGTTGTTTTGTGGCTGAGAATGTTGTGTGAACCTAAGACATTTGTTTCATTTATGGTGCCGTGCATTGTGCAAATCCAGGAAGCTGGCTCATTCAAAAACCTGATTAATCTGGCTGTGCCACTGTAGCGTAGTAGTTAAAATACTGAATTAGATTTACACCAATCCTAAACCTGGTTTAATGAAACACAATTCATATAACACACCATATCCAAACAAACAAACTTTATAATGGCTTAACATGATGCCCAGGTTCACAGAGCAGGCAAACTCCATAGCTGGGTTCCTCTAACCACAGTAAACCATGAGCTACCCATTTCCAAGTTAGCCTAGTCTACCATGTTGTCTGAACCCTGCCACTGAAGGACAGTCTTTGTACAGAGTAGAATTCTTTCCTCAGTCTATTTTCCCACTAAGCCTACATCTAGATACCTACTTCCAGGAGATGTTTCTTTTAGTCCAAGCTGACCCAGCACTGCGCCTGCCCCGACTCTTTCCTCTCTCCCATCTTTTCTTCCTTGCACTTTCCTTCAAAGAAAGCTTTGGCGGGAAGTTGGGGATAATATCAGGCAAGGAACAGCGAGGCATCCGGATCAGACTCCGCGTGGCATCATCTTCAAGGGAAGGGAAAGAAAAACTCCAGAAACATTTCAGTGTAAAACTCAACTAGTTCTGCAGATACGCTAAGGAACTGAAATGTCTCCCCAGGACATACCGATTTTCCACATGTTTATTTTGCTCAGTTCGTTTTGTTTTTATATCGCTATCAGAGAGCATTTCTGTGCATGTCCACATTTAACCTTCTGGTCCTTGCCGTCTCTTCAAACTTGCCTTGTCTTAATTTTCTTGGAAACAAGCCATTTTTGGACCAGTCATAGGAGCAGAAAATTTTCTTAAACCTAAATCTCTAATGGCCTCAAAGGGTCCTTTGTCCTGAAATGTCCTGATTCTGAAAACCAAAGCAGTGTATGAAACACAAACTCTAATCCTAGCAGAGACACTACTACTCCATCACATGCAGGGACAGCTAGCAAAGGTGTGTACAACACAATCAGCAACAAAGCAATGCTGATAAACTTTTTTTTACTGCTTCCTCATTGCTTTTTCATTTTAGAATCCACCGGGGAAAAGAAACCTTTTCAATTTCGTCTAGGAGCATAAATTCAGTACTTGTGGGAGGAGCGGGGGCTCTTCTTCACTGGAGATACTGAAGTAGCGGCTGGATCTCTCCGGCGTGCCACAGTGGCACCTTTCTCTGAATTTCCTGCCTGGAGCCGGGGGTTGGATTGAGTGACCTCTAACATGTGTGGGGCGAGAGGTATGCATTGCAGAACCACGGGCCCCCAAGGAGAACAAGCAAGATACTAACATCTCTTCGTTTTACTATACCTGGAATCCCGGTTTCTGCAATGCCTGCAAAACGTTGCATTACACGAAGAGCACTTGACACAGCCTCCCACGTCTGTAGTTGGCCTGTAATAGGATCAGCTGGTGGAAGGTATCCATAATGTGTTAGCCACTCCTAAACAAAGATGATCAGTAGAAAACATCAGATACGATAGCCCTCCCTTTCCTTCTGGGAATTCTAAATTTTCTTAGACTGGGCCCCTCTAGCCTAATTTGCTTCTGATTTATACTGCTCCCTCGCCTATGCAGAAGAAGGAGCGCTGAATTCAATGGGGATAACTCTCAGAGAACTAGCTGCAAGATTGCAGATTCTGTATTTTGCCAAAGCACTCAAAGATTCAGTTAGATTTTGGAATGCTTTTCCATACGAAGCAGCTGATTTTTCATTTATTATAGAGCTTCCATTTAATTTATGAAATGGTAGGTTTTTAATTTATCAGATAGCTGGCTTTTAATTTGTTTTTAAGATGCTCTCAAGGGGAAAAACCTCACTACCTTTCACGAAAGCCAACTTCCTAACCCAGGGTTTCTCAACCTCAGCAACTTTAAGATGCGTGGACTTCAAGTCTCAGAATTCCCCAGCCAGCATGGCTGCGGAATTCTAAGACTTGAAGTCCATGCATCTTAAAGTTGCTGAGGTTGAGAAACACTGCCCTAACCAATGTCTTCAACCATCTGGAGAAGAGATGCAGCAGAGAACAGGCTTGGCTTTCTCTGCTTCGCAAGAGCACCCATCTTCTTAGATGTTACAACTCCCCACATTTCAGTCCCTTGGACTTTACCTGCTTCAGGTTTGACTTACAATGACTTCTCCACTCTCATCTGTGGGAGTGGGGGCAGGACTGGGGCAGGATGAGGAAGCTGGGAGCAGCAAAAAGAAGAGAAGCCGGTACAGAGAGATGGGGGGTGGCTTCGTCCTCTGCTTTCCCTCCAGATGCTGTTGCTGAGGCTGTCTGTGATATTTCTTAGGAAAACACACTTTTCCAGCCTCCATCCAGGTGCCTCTCACTGTTTTGGTGAGTTTGCTGGCTCTAAAAAAACAAAAAGGATTCCAGGAAGTAGTTTCTGCAACTCAGCTAAGCTGGTTTATTTTATTCGAAAAACCTTGCAATCAACTCCAGTTCCAGAATGGGATCAAGGAAGGTTGTTCTTTTGTTCCATGGATTGGTATTTTTTGATATTTGACCCAAAAGCCTCTATCATTTTTCTAGCCACCAAGGAAATGGCAAAAATAAGTGAGAATCATCCTAAGGACTCATCTGACAAATATATTAGGTTAAATTAGATCTTTCTAGCAAGATCTCAGTTTTGAAACTCATCCCTACTAATGAACATTTACTGTATTCCACTTTATCCAAGGAATCCAGTGCAAATGAGAGTGCAGGCTGGCAAAAAATCAGCATGGTGGTAAAGAGATTTTTCTGTATTACTCTGCTGCCATCTAGTGGTCATCCTGGTATTTGCCACCCAGATATGATAGACCTAGCATCCATTGATTGATATTGATTTATCTTTACAAGGTATGAACAGGAGAGGAAAAGCAACTGGCCAAAATCAGCCCCAGGAGACTCGACTTTAGATCTGGAATGCTGCTTTCTGTCAAGGGGCATGATTAAATTGTGAAGTTCAACAAATGAAACCTTCTGGTTTGGGAGGTTAATTAAGGCGGACTTCTCCATGCTTTCTGCTGGCACTTCAGGGATGCCTGCAGACTGTGGTCAAAAAAGTCAAGATGGTGTTTTGATGTGCAAAAATGGATGGAGCTTCAATTGCACTGTCATGGCCACCATTTGGACTTTCTTGACCCCACCCTGCAGACACTTCTGCAGAACATCAAGAAGCTCTCTTAATATGAACATCTTTAAATTCTTCCAGGTTGATTTCCTCTGACTAAGAGGCAAACTTGATGGCAGAGAAATGCTTTTCAGCAAAATAAATTACAGGAAGCAGGCAAGCTGAAAGAAAGAAAAATTGCTGAACTGCATGGACATTTTTGGGCTTGCTAGCCAACTCTTAGAGTACTATCCAGCACAAGGATTGTTGGCACCCTTTGATTGAAAATGACACCACCGCAAAAGATTAAATACCCAGCATCAGCTCTAGCAAAATCTATTTTCCACACTTTCTTCTGTCTACAAAAGGCTGTGCTAGAACCCATTTTATTATAAACAGGAACAAAGCCTGAATAACGAAGGTTCCCCAGAGAATATCCAACCAACTCCTCTTCTAGCCTTTACAGGCAGGTGTGACTCTGAATCCAATCTGCCTGGCGAATCCCCCATTTGCTCATCAAGTTCTATTTTGCCAGTTATTGTCCTTCCTAGCTCAGTTGAACCCAGAAGAAATAGAGAGAAGAAACATGAGAGAGAAATGAGGCCATTTACAGCAGACGAGAAAAAACACTCGCTCACCCACCCAATGCAACATTTTCAGAAGTGGATTGCTGTGGCCTCCTTCCCAGGGCTGAGAGAGGGTGACTGGTCACCCAGTTGGCTTCATGCCCAAGGCAAGACTAGAACTCATGGTCTCCTGGTGCCTTAGAAATTATTACTATTACTCGAACTAAAATAAGCATTGGAGAAGATAGAGATCAATTGTATGTTCAATTAGTCTACTAATAGGCAGGTTTCAGGCAACCTCAGTCCTGCCCCACCTATTCTGCTTTCCCTTTTTAGTTTTCGGGTTTTCTTCTCCCGAGTTGGATTGGGTAGCCCTTCAAAGAAAAAGTGGGTTTAAATTGGGCACTGTCCTCCTTGAAGTGGATAGATGCTGATATTTAACCATAATAAAGATTTGATTGATAAAGTGGATCTTTCCCATCAGAAACCCATGGGAGGTGGAATGTGAGGAACAGTTAGGTATCAGCATGTGTATGAGAGTCAAAAGGGGAATACAGTAATGCATGGCCCTTACACACCCCGCAATAATGACATAACTGCAGAGAGCAGCAGTTAGAAAAGCTGTGGCACTCCAAGCATTGCTCTTGCTACAGTAGATCAGGCCACTGGGATGTCTGGGACATGAGGAGGGTCATTTCTTGCCCACCTCAGCCTGAGAGTCAGAAACTCTCAACATATGTGACCCCTTCTGTTCTGCAATGGAAAGCACAGATGTGTCTAAGGAAGAATGCTCCGGTGAACCCATCGCTTTTAGCATGTATGGTGGAGCATGGGTACCACTTGATTTCAAGGAGACAGCACCCAATTTGTGTGTTCTGTGTGATTAGAACATCCTGGTATGTCCACTCAGGGTTATTATCCAAAGCAGGGTCTGGCAAATGGGCAGAGATGTACCATGGGTGCTTCTCTTGGGTTCAACTGTGCTTATTTTCTTTATAGAGTCTTTCAGTCAAAAATGTGTATATGGGCTACTCCATATGCAGTCTTAAAAAAGAGAGTGGTTGCAGCCCAGGGCTTTGCTTTGAAGTGTGCTCAACCACCCAGAAGGAAAATAAACCCAGAAAGGGAAGTCATCATAGTTGGGAGAATTCTGTGGGGTGACACCAAGAGACCCATCTCTTTAGCCTGTTTTTTGACAGATGGCTACCTCACAGCAGGAGTGTTTGTGGGTGGGTGGGGGCCAAAAAAATTCAAGATGTGCCCAGCCTGTGCATTAGAAGTCCATCCCTTTCATGTGCATGTAGAAACAGGTAGGGTTCAATCGTGCAGGTGGCATCTTGATTCTTTTGTGACCTCTCCCCACCATGGATGTCCCTGCTTAATAGGGATTTTGTCAGGTAGGGGGGACAGGGGGAAGAGGAAGTGCTATGTACTCTGTCTTTGTGGAAAGCAGGAAAGGAATAGAAAATAGAATAGAACAGAACAGAATCCAGAGAGAAGAGAAGAGAAGAGAAGAGAAGAGAAGAGAAGAGAAGAGAAGAGAAGAGAAGAGAAGAGAAGAGAAGAGAATCCAGAGTGAAGTTTACAAAGACAGGAATTCTGTAATTCTGTTGTGGGCATTGGTGCTACCATAGATCTACATTCAGTGCCATCCCTACCTTATCTGAATGTGTCTGGGAGCCAGTTCTTCGTAAGATATACAGGGTCTATGTCCTCATTTTGCCACAAGGGCAAAAAGGAGACTTGCATTAAAATTATTACCATTGTAATGAAATACCTCATTCATCAGCTGTATCCAAACATCCCGTCTGCGCTCTTGAATTACTGTTTGCTAAAGAAGCTGCTGCGTTAAAGATTCTCAGGGATGCCGGTCCAGCTCCCCTCCCAAGAGAATGTAACCCCTCTGCAATTCTCAGACCAACGTAAATCTTTTAACCTGTCACCATCATTCTGATTTTCCAAGTCCATAAATTTTGCGATTACTCTAAGCCTTAAAACTGCACAAAAAGACATATTTCTTCTTTTGTTTTAACTCTACAAGCAAACAGAAATTATCTCTTTTGCTTTTTAAAAATGTATATTTAAACACAAATTTCTGGTAGTTTTTTTTTAAAAAAATAAGATTAATGGAGAAAAGGGGATTCCATATGAAAATGATTAGGAAAATAGCCCAGGGATTGATCTCTCCAGCCCTCATCTCCATCCTTTTCCCACATCCAAAACACCCACAGCTGTGCAACTGTCCAGATGATGACCATCTCCTAAGAATGGCATTACAAAATGACCATTCTGGTTACATTTCAACAAGACTCTCTTCCCCCTTGTCCCTTTCTCTCTGGCTTCTGAAGTGCCTTTCCCATTTCTGAGGCTGGAATTTATAAGGAATGTGGGAAGGTGATATTCCTCCAACTTTGGATTTGAAGGAGGGCTCCTACTTATCTGTCCAAATGTCCCCCAAATAGCAAGTCCTGAAGGATCCCCAAAAGCAGCTTTGCTTCAATTCTACTTTTCTTTGGAAGGAGACTTGGGTGGGGTGCGGAGGGGAGTGGAAGGGAAGGGAAGGGATCTGAGACCAGCAGCTATTCTCTTTATGGCAGGGAGATTTCCTTTAAAGAACTTATCCTTTCCAGAGGGACCGAAAGAACCCACAGCCCACCCTGCTCTGCCAGGACTGATGGTAGTAGTGGTGCAATTCCTATAACCTGCTTTGCCCAATTTAACAAGAAACCTGCAAAAATCTCTTGGCTTCACTCTCCACTGTGCTTGGCTCTGGCTGCTGACCATCTCTCTAATCCCCCTTCCTCCAATGTTTCGTTTCCTTCCTTCCTTCCTTCCTTCCTTCCTTCCTTCCTTCCTTCCTTCCTTCC